GAGCGTTCGGTCACTTTCAGGGTCCGTTTCCCACTCACTCGTATCCTAACTGAATACCTAAGAGACTGGGGGGTCGGTATTAGCCAGATTTCTCCGATCGCCTGGCTGAAAATCATTAGCCTGCTCGTATTGTTCAGTCAACAAGGTTGGGAGATGCCTACACCGGATGACATTCGCGCGCTGTTCCTGATGAAAGAAACGAGAAAGAAATCCGGACAGTTCTCTATATCCGTTAGGGATCCGAGATTTAGGGATCTAATCACCAAAGTCCCGGAGACGATCAACAAATTCAAATCTTCATGGTTTTGGGTCGGACGCGGCTGGCAGACACGGAAGTCTCCGGATGATCCGGGAGCTTCTGAATTTTTAACCGTTCCGACGAGATTCGTTGCAAAGATTTGTGAGTTTATGCTTTCTTTTTCTCGTTTGTCCCTCCTAATTTTTGGTTATTCGACCTAACAGGTCAAGTTCGTTGTTTCAGCCAACCCTTCGCTCGTCCCTGAGTTGAGAGAGTCGTTCATTCTCCAATTGACTGAGTTGCTGCAAAAGGGCGAAGACGAACGTGCCGGACCCAAATTGGTGGAGGATTCTAATCTGTTCGAGGCCGGACTCTGTACGGGCGACGTTGAGATTTCGTGCGTTCCCAGTAAGTGCCTTTATCCGTTTCCCCTTTCTTTAACCGTTCGGTCGGGTGGTCGTTGTCCGGTTTTTTCTTACTGTCCGGCTTATTGCACCTTTTATCCTTTGGGTAATTTGAAAGGTGTGGCCACCGACACGGGAGCAAAGAGGATTTCTGTGAAATCGAAGGGAAAACAGACCACTACTAGTTTTAGACCCGAATCGAAATCCAGAGAATCGACTGCTGAGATGGACCGTTTGGCGATGATTGAGAAGATGAGGGCCGCCCAGGCATCAGCATTGAAGGATCCGACCCCTCAACAGGAGGTCGGTTATGAGGTTATCGAGTCTTCGGGTGAAGAGGATGAGCAGCCGTTGCAGAGAGGTCGCGCGGCGAGCCGAAAACGGGTTGCTGAAGTTGACGAGGCTCGTAAGGCCAAGCGCCCGGTCCAATCGGGGACTCAAGAGCAAGGTTCGACGGCTGGCCCCATCACACCGGTTGTGCCAAGCAGTTTCTATGAGGGGATGGACGCCCCATTCATCAGGACGGGTCGAAGACTTATCTCCGGGTCGAGCCCACCCGAGCGGCTCGAGCGGATCGCCTGAAGAAGGTATCTGACAGCTGGTTTGTTCGCTATAAGTCAGTTGCGCATTCCTTCCTGCCGAACGTCGGGAACTGGCCCCCGCATGTGACGGATGCCGCTCTGGCACCCTTAATGAGTTGGGATCTCCCGGCCGAGCTGACTGCTCAAGCGCTCACTCCGACCGAACGGGTGGAATATACGGCGGGGAGCTTGGGTCGTGCTTTGTGCATGCAGGCGGCGGCCTTGGCCGACTTCAAAAAGATGAGCAGCGAACTGGCGAGGATTACGGCCGACCATGCCGTTTGCAAGGACAGGATCCACTCTCTCCAGGACGACCTCAAGAAGTCCGAACTGCTGCAAATGAAAATTGTCGAACTTGAAGGTGAACTGAAGGTGGTTCCATTGGAGGAAGTGAGGCTGATTGAACAGGCAGACAGTGCCAAAAAGCAGCTGGCCGAGGCTGAAAAGGAGCTTGCCGCGGCGAAATTGAATGCTAAGGAGGCCGTCTGGAAACTTGCTGCGGCCGAACGGGAAAGGGACACAGCGCTGGCCGAACAGGAAAGACTCCGGTCCGAGTTGGAGGGAGCGGGACAATCCCGCGGCTCGTATGAAGACGGCTTCGAGAGGGGCCGTTTGGCTGGGTTGCAAGAGTACAACAAGACGGACAAATTCCTGGCCGACATGGACTTGAACGCGGCGCTCGGACTGAACTGGGTTATCCATGCGATGAAGGACGGAGGGAAAACTCTGAAGGACCTCGAGGCTATTCGTGATATCAAATTCGAGCGGCTGGCTCTGCCCGAGGAGATGAAGATTTCGGCCGTGATTGCGGATGACGATGAAAAAACCTATGACAACCGTCTGATGGACTCCGCCTTTTCCAAATCCGCCGCGGATACGACCGGGGCCGGTCCGAGCCATCCTCCCGACCGTCAAGGTGAAGGAACGGGCGAGAATGATGAGGATGCTGGGAACGAACAACCACCCCCCGTTTGACTTTCGATCACTTTCTAGTTGCTATTTCTGTTTTTTTTTGTTTAAGTATGTTTGCGTATGTTGCTTGCTGTTTCGACCAACTTATTTTAATTTGCATTTCCGAATGTTGTTGTGTTCCGAGCCCAGGGATGGTTTATTCCCTGTAGGGTTCGGGTATTTGTGTGATTTCCCTATGTATGGAAAATAAACTAAGTGTGGTATTTTATGTTTCCGTCGCTTAATATCTTCATGCCGCTTCAATCTTGGTCGGACGACTTTAAGTGATCCGGTCGCTACCCTACTTGGGGTCGTTTGATTTCTGATCGGACGACCTTAAGTGGTCCGATACCGGGCAACCTTAAGTGGTCCTGTTGTTACCCTACTTGGGGTCATTTTGATTTTTGATCGGACGACCTTAAGTGATCCAATACCGGGCAACCTTAAGTGGTCCGGTTGTTACCCTACTTGGGGTCATTTTGATTTTTGATCGGACGACCTTAAGTGATCCGATACCGGGCAACCTTAAGTGGTCCGGTTATTACCCTACTTAGGGTCGTTTTATTTTTGATCGGACGACCTTAAGTGATCCGATACCGGGCAACCTTAAGTGGTCCGGTTGTTACCCTACTTGGGGTCATTTTGATTTTTGATCGGACGACCTTAAGTGATCCAATACCGGGCAACCTTAAGTGGTCCGGTTGTTACCCTACTTGGGGTTATTTTGATTTTGATCGGACGACCTTAAGTGATCCGATACCGGGAAACCTTAAGTTGTCCGGTTGTTACCCTACTTGGGGTCATTTTGATTTTTGATCGGACGACCTTAAGTGATCCGATACCGGGTAACCTTAAGTGGTCCGGTTGTTACCCTACTTGGGGTCATTTTATTTTTGATCGGACGACCTTAAGTGATCCGATACCGGGCAACCTTAAGTGGTCCGGTTGTTACCCTACTTGGGGTCATTTTATTTTTGATCGGATGAGAACACTCTTTATTGATAATACTTCTTCAAATACATGGCATTCCAGGGATACATCAGCGGGGTTCCGTCTAAGTACTTCAATCGGTAGGCCCCATTCCTAAGTACGACGTTGACTTGATACGGTCCCTCCCATTTTGGTTTTAGGGGACCCGGATCCGGTCCCGTCACTCTCTTCAAAACTAGTTCTCCCGCTCGGTAGAGAGGAGAATTGACTCTTGCGTTGAAATGTCTTTTGGTCACCCGTTTGTATGCTGCGTTCTTTAGTTCGGCTTGCGTCCGTGCTTCTTCTATTAAATCCAAACCCGTTCGCAATCCCTCGCTATTCGCTTCCTCTTCGAAATTCTTTACTCGATACGTTTCAGACCCGATTTAGACCGGGACCATTGCCTCTGCCCCATATTCTAACGAGAACGGTGTTTCTCCCATCACCGATCTTGGTGTGGTCCGGTATGACCACAAGACGTTCGGGAGCTCCTCCGGCCAGGCCCCTTTCGAGCTTTCCAGTCGTACCTTCAAACCTTGTTTAATAATTTTGTTGACCGCCTCTACTTGCCCATTTGACTGCGGATGGTAAGGGGTAGAGAAATGATGTCGAATCCCCAGCTCTTCACAAAACGTGCCGAATTTCTTTCCCTCAAACTGCCGTCCGTTATTAGTCACCACAGAATGAGGAATACCAAATCGGAAAACGATTGATTTCAACAAAAAGTCGACCATCTTCTGCTCGGTTATCGTGGCCAAAGGTTCGGCCTCCGCCCATTTAGTAAAGTAGTCGACTACTACGACCGCGTATTTGACTCCTCCCTTGCCTGTAGGTAAGGGTCCGATTAAGTCGATTCCCCACTTGGAAAACGGCCAGGGGCTGAAAACTGAGGTGAGAGGATGAGCCGACTGCTTTAAGTTAGGGGCGAACGTTTGGCACTTAACACACCTCCTGACTAGGTTGAACGCGTCCCTTTTCAGCGCGGGCCAGTAATACCCCTGTTGTAGTATTTTGTGCGCCAACGCTCGTCCCCCAGAATGGTTTCCGCATACGCCCTCGTGGACTTCTCTCATGACTCGTTCGGCTTCTTCGTCGTCCACACATTTGAGCAATGGATTCGAATAGCCCCTCTTGTATAACGTTCCTGCCATGATCGTGTATCTTGCTGCTCGGATCCTTAATGACCGAGCATCCTTGAGGTCTGCGGGGAGTTCTTTCTTCTCCAAATACGATCGGATCGGATCCATCCATCCGGATGTTGTGGCACCGACCGATTCTTCAATCCTCATGATATGATCGACCTGAACGGTCGGCCTCTCCTGATGGCGAGTGTAAACATACTCGATTTCGTCGGTTCCTCTGCTGGATGCCAACCGTGCGAGCGCGTCCGCCTGGGCATTCTCTGACTGGGGGACGTGTACGAGTTGAACGTTTTCTCGCGCTATCTTCTTTCGAGCTAGGTGTAAATATGGCACCAGGCGGGCTTCCTTTGTCTCGAACTCCCATGAGATTTGCTTTACTAACAACATGGAGTCAGAGTATGCTTTTAAATTCGTGATGTTCATCGAGTGGGCCAAGTCCAGGCCGGATAATAGTGCCTCATATTCTGACTCGTTATTGGTCGCGACAAACAAGTACCGGACCGAATGGCAATATAGCTTTCTTTGGGGGCTGACGATCACGACTCCTCCCCCAGACCCTTCGGTTGTGGCCGATCCGTCTATATACATCTCCCAAGTTTCTGTAGTTTGGACTGGTTCGGCTCCCGTTGTGAACTCAGCTATGAAGTCGGACAATGCTTGTCCCTTTTATCGCCGTCCGTGGTTTATATTGGAGATCGAACTGCCCAAGCTCTACGGCCCACTTGATCATTCGTCCCGACGTATCAGGCTTGTGGAGAATTTGTCGAATAGGATAGGCTGACAAGACGGTCACCCGGTGTTCAAGGAAATACGGCCTGAGTTTCCTCGAAGCCGTCACTAGGGCGAAGATTAACTTCTCGATCTGTGGGTAACGGACCTCAGCTTCATGTAATGCCTTGCTTGTGTAATAGATCGGATGTTGATTCAAATTCTCCTCCCGAACGAGTACGGCGCTTATCGCGGTCGGGGTAACTCCGAGATATAGATACAGCATCTCTCCAGGGTTCGGCTTTTGGAGGACCGGGGGCCGAACGAGTGACTCCTTGATGTTGTCCAGCGCGTGTTGGCATTCGTCCGTCCATTCGAATTTTTTATTCTTTTTAATAGCCTCGAAGAAGGGCTTACATTTGTCCGTGGACTTTGATATGAATCGGCTTAAAGCCGCTAATCTACCCGTTAGACTTTGCATTTCTCTTATCGACCTAGGGGGTTTTAGTTCGAGTATTGCTTTAATCTTGTCGGGGTTCGCTTCGATTCCCCCTTGACTAACTATGTATCCTAAAAACTTACCCGAACCTACCCCGAATGTACATTTTTTGGGATTTAACACCATGGAGTAATCACGCAAAATAAAAAACATTTCATTAAGATGTGACACATGATCGTTCGCAAAAACAGATTTAACAAGCATATCATCCACGTAAACTTCCATAGTTCGTCCGATTTGATCTGCAAACATCTTATTCACGAGCCTCTGATAGGTTGCCCCGGCATTCTTGAGACCGAATGGCATCATGGTGTAGCAATAGAGTCCTCTGGCCGAATAGAAAGATGTGTGCTCCTCATCGTTCGGGTCCATCGGGATCTGGTGATATCCCGAATAGGCGTCCTTGAAGCTCATGAGTTCGTGTCCGGACATCGCGTCTACCATGTAATCGATGCTGGGCAACAGATAACTGTCTTTGGGGAAGGCCCGATTGAGATCGCTGAAGTCGACGCATAGTCGCCACGTTCCACTGCTCTTCTTTACCAGGACCGGATTGGATACCCAAACTGGGTACTTGGCTTCGCGAACGAACCTGTTGTCAATCAGCTTTATTACTTCCCCCTCGAGCGCTCCTTGTCGTTCTGGTCCCAACTTCCTTCTTTTCTGCACGATTGGATTTACCGTTCGGTCAACCCGAAGGCTATGGCATGCTAAGCTTGGATCGATCCCCACCATATCTTCATGCGTCCAGGCGAAGACATCTGCGTTTTTGATTAGAAAAGTAATTAACCTGGACCGGATGGGTTCGCCCATGTTGCGTCCGATGCGCAATGACTTGGTGCAGGCTGGTTCATCAAGATAGATCGTCTCCGTGTCTTCGCTTGGTTCGGCCCGTTCGGGTTTCTTTTCTTTGAATTGATCTCGGGGGTCCCGTTCGTCTTTTTCTTCGATTGGTTCCTTCCCTGGTCGACGTCCCCGGTCTATCGTTCGATCCTCCTCTTCGCACGAATCGTTCTCCTCTTGGGTGGATTGATCGGCCTCCGATTCTTTTCCGTCTTGTCCGTCTCTCGGGGGTGAAAGTGTGTTTGCGCTTGATGACGTAGGCATAGGGTACTTGTCTTCCTCTTCTGGGCCCTCGATCGGTTCTTCCCTCATCCTCTTTCGTCCGTTTGTGTATCCTTTGGCCGCACTGTTGTCTGGCCGTTCGGACGAAACTTCCTGCTCGTTTGACCGCTTGGGCTCTGCAACTGGTTCGTCGATCGGTTTCTCCTCCTTGTTCGCCATCATGACCGAGTGTATTTCTAATGACGGGATCGCCATGATGCACTCCCTTGCTTCCCTTTGGTTGCCGTAGTGGACTCCCGTGCCGTTCTCAGTTGGGAATTTGATCGAATAGTGGAAGATTGATACGACCGCCTTCAGCTTGTATAAGGCCTTTCGCCCGAGGATGGCGTTGTACTCGCTGGCCGTTTTCACCACTTTGAAAGTTTCCATGATCCTGCGTCCGTTTGCTCCTGATCCCCCGAGCTCGATTGGTAATGTGATTTCTCCTTCGGGAATGGTTGCTTGTCCGTTGAATCCAGTTATGCGGTCGTTGCATGGGCGCAGTTCGCTTTGGTCTATCCCCATTTTAAGGAATGCGGTCCAGTATAAGATGCTTGAGTACGCCCCCGTGTCCACCATGATTCGGTGGACTGGGATTCAGAAAATGGGGGCTGTGATTACGAGCGCATCTGAGTGTGGATTATCAAACGGGAGAGAATCTTCATCCAAAAACATTATTAGATTTGTGGGCATGGGGATGTGTCGGTTGACCTCCGCTCGGCTGACTCTGTGTCCTGTGCTGTATGCTTTTCGGACGTATGCCTTGACCTGTCTTCTTGACACGCTCGAACTTTCCCGGCTCGTATTGACCCTTGTGGGCGGTCCGCTTCTTCGGATTGGGATGTGAACCGAATGCTACTCGTCTCGTCTGGACGCTGTCCTTTTCCTTTTCCCAGATGCGCTCGTCTCGCCTCGTTGCTCCTGACTGATCGCCAAGATTTTATTGTGGTGTTCGTTCGCTCTCCGGGGATTCAGTCCAAAATCGGGCTCGTCTCCTGGGTTCATTCGTTCATCGTTTCTTGGCCTCCGGTTGCCTGCATCCATCCTAGTGAACCTCCTTACCTGCGGATCATCAATTAGTTTCAACAAGGCAGATATTAAGTTCCGACACTGGTCGGTATTGTGGCCATGCGCTTTGTGGTAAGCGCAATATCGACTTTTGTCTAGATTTTCTTCATCGGCCCTGATCGGTCTGGGGTCTGGGATGATCCCCTTGTTCTTCAACTCTTTATACACTACGGCCGCGCCGGCCGAATACACCCCTTGGTAGCTGTTCGTGAGTTCCTCGTGATGTTTCCTCTGCATGGCTCGGAATTGGGAGCTTCTTCCGTCCTTCACAAACTCCTTGTTCGATCGGGACTCCTTTGCTTTGGCGATTTGCTCGTTCAGGGCTGGGAACGACGGGACGGACATGTTTTCTTCTGCCATGATATGTTGTTGAGCTTTCATAAAAAATTCGTGATACGTCCGAGGTTTGTTCTGGCCGAGGGTCCATTTGAACATCGAGTTTGGTCTCAGTCATGAATATGCCAAAACGAGCAGGGTCTCCTGATGACATGGTTCTATGTTTTGTACCCGTTCATTGAAACGATTGATGTAATTCTTCAAACTCTCGTCTGCTCCCTGGATAATGTGAGTGATCGATTCTTTGGGAAATCGGCACGCCTGGGATCCGATGAAGTGGGTTCGGAACATGGACTTTAATTGTGACCACTTAGCGACCGAATGTGGGGCGAGCGAATGGTACCATCTTTGTGCTTTTTCTCCCAGAGTTAATGAGAACATCCGGCAGCGGAGGGCGTCCGGTGCTCCGTGCAGGTCCATCCATGACGTGTATAATCCTAGGTGGGTGTCCGGGTCCGATGTTCCGTCATAAAATCCGATCTGTGGGATCTTGATCTTCTCGGGCAGCTGTTCCTGCAAAATATCAAATGTTAGGGGTGATTCGGGTTCGGCTGGGCTGGATTCTGTTCGTGCCCTTGAGGCTGTCGTGGCTCGTTTGAGAGGGACTTCCGTCAGATCCTGTCCGGTGAAAACTAGTCGTTTTTGGGCCGAACGCCGAGCTTCGAGTTTGGCTATTCTTCTTTGGAGGCTCTTCATTTCGTCTTCTTCGGCTTGAGTCGTTCGCCTTCTGGTCAATGTTCTCCTCAAGTCGTCGTCGGCCACGTTTTTTCCCAGCCGTTTGAAAACCGACCGGGTGGTGTTTCGGGTTCGAGTATCCGTGACCGAGCGACTTTCGTCCGTCTGTTCATTTTCCGTCCGGGTGGTGGATTTTTCCTTCGTGCTCCCGGGCGATCGGGTGGTTTCTTTGCGAACGTTTGTTTCCTTGCCTTTGAGGGTGTTGGTAAGGTCTTTTTTGGCTGGGGTTTTGGGTGCTTGAGACGTAGAGGGCCGGATCTGTGTTATCAGGTTTGATATTCCCTTAACAAAGTTTGGGTCTTTGAAAAAGGCTGAATAGTCCATCCTCGTGGTTGGGTTGTTTCGCTGATCTTCCCTTTCTTCTGGTGAGTCTCGCCGGCGACTCTGGCTTGATGATGATGCAGTTGTCTTTGACATGCTGCAATAGCTCCCCTTCCTCTAGCGCCAATTGTTGATGTCTAAAAATGACCAACAATGTGTTCGAACTGTACACTAAGATGTGTACTCTGTTCGGTCTGCACGAATAGTATTTGTGTTTGTGATTCAGTTTTAGTTTACTGGTCCGAATGCTCAGTCTATCCGTGACTTATTGAGTAATTAATGAGAGCATTTACTCATTGCATTAAATGATGTCCTCCCCTCCCTTTTATAGGAAGTTTAGGGACTTTACATTTCCCTCTTGGGGATTTTTACATTTCCTTTTGCAGGATATTTTTTTTAGATATTAGTCATTCAACATTTAATGCTAATTGTACTTGGTAATCTTTTCCCAATATCTGAGAGTCGTCCGGATCGTGCCACGCGTCCCTGTTTTTCCTTTGCCGTCGGATGAGAGATTTTCCTGTATCTCCGCATTTAATGCGCGCAGTACGGCTGGCTCTCGTAATGATTAAACAGATCTCACTTATTCTCTCCCATCCGTTCGACAGCGGTACGATCCCGGGGGCATCCGGTTCCCTTTCTTTTCTTACTGCCATCCGTTCGGTCTGTACCACCAACACTATTGTAATTTTTTGGGGCCAGATGCCTTAATAGTCTTCACTACGAGGGGAGATTTCATCATGTAAAAGAGCTCATCTCGCCATGATTGTTCCTCTTACTACACAAGAAATTATTAAAGTGTAATTTTTACTAAGTAAGAGTTTACAAGGTAAGGTTTGTATAATTTAGGGTTGACGAACCCTAATTTTTTGCTGACTTTTTCACAAATCTTTCGTTTGTTTTGTAGAATGTTGCGACTTCTTTTCGTGGGTTGATGGTCTAATGTGTAATCGTTCAAAGTAATTAATTCTAGAGATTTTGTGTAAATCAAACGAGTTACGCGATGTCGTTCAACAATTTCAAGATGAAACGACAAATTGACGGAGGATTTTTTTTTTCAAAATTGAGTACAAAAAATTGCAAAAAGCACTCCAAACAATGGGAAACAACAACAAACACATGTTGTTTGTAGTTGTTTGCATCATTTGGTGTTTGTTCTTGCTCACAAAAACCAGTTGTCAGTGAAATGTAAAGAAGATTACATAAGTTAGTGTTCTTGAGTGTGTAATGGTTGTTTCCAGAGTTGATTTTTAAGTGTTTGAAGTTGTACGAATATCACAAACAACCAGAATAGCGCTAATTGAAATAACTAGTGAACTTAATTAAAAGAAAGTTCACACAATTGCGGAAGCAAAAGATTCTTCAAAATAAACACCAATATGCACTCGGAGTACGAGAAAAATCTTCTCGTCTCACACTCAATCAAAAACAAAACAAAAACCACTCTTCTCTCTAATAAAGTTTTGCTTACTCAACCTTTTATTTAAACATCAAAAGTGATTGATACTTCAAAAAAACACCAAAATCATTTTTTTTTTTTTTTTTTTTGTTTCCTAGTCTTAGAAAAAGGGTGACTCATTATTTCGATGCATCATTTCTTTGGACAGAAAAAAAGAAAAATTAAAAGAAAATAGGTTAGCAGCTGATCTTCTAACCACTCAGAGGCTTTTGTATATCTATAAAAGGAGCTTTTGTCATCTCTATAACACTACGAGTAAACGCCGATGGATTAGTACGAACGTGCAACAAGTGCTGCGGGGATAAGATAATGGTAAGTTACTTTCTTTCGCTGTCAAGACACGCTCAGAAAGTAAGTTCCTTGAATTGATTTGTCGTGCGGATATTGAATGTTGAAGCGCGTCCTTTTATTCTTACACAAGGTAAGTGCGCCTAACTGAAGTTTGATACTTGTACACCAAGTATCCAGAGTTGCGAATAAATAAATTAAAACCGAAATAAGCGAAGATTCAAACAAATGTGGAAGTATTTTCACTGAGAATTGAACCTTCAGGAGAGCGTCCCACTCTCCCTTCAGATCTCTTTCATTAATGTGAATATCACAAATACTCTTCAAGGGTTTACAATATAGACTCCCCCTCTACACTCTACTAGAACAGTAATTCACACAACTACTTATCTGACCACATATCCCTTGTGGGTTTTCTAGTTTGAATCCCTCAAACTATCTCAGAATGAACCTCCGAACACTCTGTTACTGACTCACACAAAAATAATGAATATGGAAAATCTCGCTTCACTCAAGGAACATAAAAAACACTAAGAACAAATCAAATCAGTAGTACAAAAGTCGTCCTCTACATGCGTCTCGTCCTCCTTTTATCCTCGAGCTTCATTTGGTAAGTTTCTTCCTTTTTCTTTGCGTCCAAACTAAAGCCACACAGGGAAGGTCTCTTCTATTTAAGGCCGCAATCTTTCTCTTGTGATTAAGGAAGGTGAATCCCAAGTTAATCCCAATGGACCTGCCATAATAAAATCTCTCATTATTATTAAATAATAATAATAAATAAACAAAGCTTCCAATCAAACTAAAAACAACTTCCCTTAAATATTCTCGCGTATTTATGAATCCTGTGAACACCAGAAGGTTCATCGATTTACTGCCAATCTTCAGAACTTACAATCTCCCCCTTTGGCAGATAAATCGAAAACCATTTCCTTGAACCTGGATGAAGTGAATACATATCACGCACTACAGATATCAAACCCAAGAATACTTATCTCATCACATGTTGTTCATAAGAACAACTCAAATACCTGAATAAGACCAAAATAGTTCACAGGATAGTAATAAGGAAAATGTTCATCACATACAAGAAGAAAAGAAACAAAAGGAAAAGAGTTCAAACAACCACACAGAGATTAAGTAGTTTTTAACAAAAACACATATGAATGTCCAGCTGAGAGATTTATGCAGATTCTTCTTCTTCAGATTCCTCCCCCGAACCTTCTTCAGTACCATCCTCAGACTCTTCTTCAAAAGGCTCCTCCTCTTCTTCATTCTCAACATCAGAGTCTGCTTCTTCTTCATCTTCTTCGTCAGAACCTTCATCCTCTTCCACAGCCTTCTCCTTTCCCTTTTCCTTGGTAGTAACAACCTTTTCTTTTCTTTTTGTCAACAACAGCCTTTGCTTTCTCTGGCTTCTCCCCCTCAGCAGCAGTCTTTGGCTTCTCCCCCTTAGCAAGTACCTTATTCTTTCCAATAGCAACAGCGGTAGTGGCCTTCTTCGTATTTATCTCCCCGTTTTTTTTGATTTAGATACCAAAGGGGCATGTGTCTTCAAAGCACCTAGCACCTCCTTGTAGTACCTTCTATGATCAGATAATTTCTTTTCAAGTCCTGAGAGAACTGCCACTTGTTGGTTCAAGAATCCGCAAAGCTGAGAAGGCACATCAGAGACCTTAACAAAAGAAGGGCACAGATGGGATACCTTAACACCAGCAAGTGCAAAAGGTTTGAGAGTAGGGGAGAAATTATCGTCAAGTGGAGGGTCCATCTTCACACCAGCCTTGAAGAGGATTGCACATATGATAGATGGATAGAGCAACAGTTTGTGAGGTTTAGAGATTTCAGTGAACGCCACCACGACATAAAAAGTAACAGAATCCAAGGTCAAACAGAACACCATTCAGACGTGGTAGATCACACGAGCCTGCGTGGGGGTCACAAACTGTTTGTGAGAGGTAGATGTCCAGTTCGACGCCCCTATTTTCTGTAAAGCATTTGCGAGCGGAGTTAAACTCTTCTCAAACAATCCCGAAGCAAGCCATTTGTTATGTTTCCCACCAGTTAGGGTATGAGCAACTTCATCAAGATCATCATTCAAAGGAGCAAGTGAAGAACCTTCAGCTAAACCAAGTACAAAGTTCACCATGGACGGAGAAAAATCAATCACACTGTTACGCACAAAGACCTTTTTAAACTTCATTGGCAAGTGGTCAGAGACAGAGTTTGTCAATTTTGAGTAAAATTCACACACAAGAAGATAGCTGTATTTTTCAACATACGTGACTGAGCCTTCAAGTCCAACCTTTTTCAGAAGTTCAAGCAACCCAAGTTGCTCAAAATGTTCACCAATGACCGTCCATTCAGGACGAATTTTCATTTGAGAGAAAATGGTAGAAAATCAATTTTCAGACTCAAGAGAATAAAACTGACGGGAAAAAGCATTACCAACAGTAAGAGGATTGTCTGGACCGTCACCTTCTGTCCCATGAACAACTTTTCCTTTTGCAGCAAGTGAGAGTTCATTGACAGCAGCACGATTGTTGTCTGATTTGATAGGTTCAACAACATAATTTGCAATAACAACAACAACAACAACAACAACAACAACAACAATAATAATAATAATAATAATAATAATAATAATAATAATAATAATAATAATAATAATAATAATAATAATAATAATAATAATAAATCTGTAATAACTTTAGACCAGTTGCACCTTAACGACTATCTGATTGCATCTTAACGTTAGACGAGTTGCACCTTAACATATTTATATAAATTATGTATTTAGACCCATGTATCAAATTGAGATATATTAAAAACAAATTAAAATTGCAATTAAGCCCCTTGGATATATCTAATTCTCAAATGGAATCCCCAACTCACAAACACTCCTTCACCATCACAGGCATCTCCGACCAGTAATCACCTGCCTCCTAATACTCCCCGTGATCGGTTATACGCCGCCGGAGAACAACCACAAGACATACATGGTCTTCATAACTCAAAACTGAATTTCACGGCGGATTAAAAGGGTGGTCGGAAATGAGACGACCAGTTTCGACGAGGTTCTCGAATTCGGCGGCATTTCCCAATTTTACGACGGTGACTGCATGGTCTGGAGGAGCTAGAGTAGTCGGACATGACTGAGTTGAAGCATGTGCCGGATGCTGTGACCGGCGGCGGCGGTGTTTCTCGATTTTACGATGGCGACAACGTGGTCTGCTTGACTTCTAATACAGACGGGGTCGGCCGGAGCTGTGGCTGCAACGGTTTGGTGGCGGAGGGTCGGGGTCGACGGCTACAATGGAGATTGTGGTGAGTGTGTGGTCGGCAGAAGAGACAGTGCCGGACATGCCTTAGTTGAAGCAGGTGTCGGATGTTGTGACCGGAGGTGGCTTGTGGCTGCGGTGGTTTGGTGGCGGAAGGTCGGGGCCTCCGGCTTCAATGGAGAGGTTCTGTATTTTGCGACATTGCCATGCAGGTTTTATCATTATAATTTAACTTTGACTTTATAATGACCATTGATGTAATTGATCAAATGGTCCATGATCATTCTTATTCCTTTCACTATCTATCATTCTCAACTTGATCCATTCTCTCTATATATATATATAATTACTAGCTCATGCATTTAATAAAACATTTAATAAAACCTATTTTCATTTCCCTCCAAAAGGAGTTATAATTATTAAATAATTACTCACTAATCTACTAAAACTGTTACACCTTAATATATATTTTTATTATTTATTTTTTGGATCAGTTACTAAATTAATTCTAAATTTGATAGCAAAATATTCAAAGGTGTAACGGCTAATGTTGTAACTTAAAGTTGATTGGCACATTCAGAGCTGTAACCCATGTATTTGGTTGATTTTTAGAAAAAAAATATGATCACATTCAGAGCTGTAACCGCTATATTTGGTTGTTGGAAAAAAAATATGTGATATAACCATACTTGTGAACCGGAGTCAAGCATGAAGAGGTCCAAGCGCAATCGAGGAAGAACGACCTGAGGAGGTCTAGATGAGACTTGAAGGTCTCGGTGACTAAGTATGAAGAGCTCCCCACGACTAAGTATGGGGAAGTAGAGGTGCTCTTCATGTCCAAGCGCAATCGAGGAAGAACGACCTGAGGAGGTCTAGATGAGACTTGAAGGTCTCGGTGACTAAGTATGAAGAGCTCTCCACGACTAAGTATGGGGAAGTAGAGGTGCTCTATGTGACTAAGTATGAGAAGCTCCCCACGACTAAGTATGGAGAAGTAGAGGTGCTCTTCTCTAGTAAGTATGAGTAGCTCCCCATGACTAAGTATGAGGAAGTAGAGGTGCTCTTATATACCAGCTAGATGTCATCTTACCTCTACCTGCTAGAGGTCATCTCGCCTCTACCTGTTAGAGGTCACTCACCTCTACCTGCTAGAGGTCATCTAGCCTCTACTTGCTAGAGGTCATCTCGTCTCGACCTGCTAGACTTGCTAGAGGTCATCTCGTCTTGATTTTCTAGACTTGTTAGAGGTTATCTTGTCTACACTTGCTAGACTTGCTAGAGGTCATCTCGTCTCGACCTGCTAGACTTGCTAGAAGTCATCTCGACTACACTTGCTAGACTTGCTTGAGGTCGTCTCGTCTACACTTGCTAGACTTGCTTGAGGTCGTCTCAACCTGCTAGACTTGCTAGAGGTCATCTCGTCTCAACCTGCTCGACTTACTAGAGGTCTCCGCTACTAGAGGTCTCCGTTGCTAGACTTCCGCTGCTAGAATTCAACTGCTAGAGGTCTCAGTTGCTAGACTTCCGCTGCTAGACTTCCGCTACTAGAGGTCTCTGTTGCTAGACTTCTGCTGCTAGACTTCCGCTGCTAGAGGTCTCCGTTGCTAGACTTCTACTGCTAGACTTCCGCTGCTAGAGGTCTTCATTACTAGACTTCTGCTACTAGAGGTCTTCGTTACTAGACTTCCGCTGCTAGAGGTCTCTGCTACTAGACCTCCGCTGCTAGAGGTTCATGTGACTACAAGAGCATGATCTAGAGGCAGTAAATGGATAAGAAGGAATATTATGATGACTAAGCAGTGAGGGGAGACGAACAGACCGGGGTATTTCGGACATTTCAGGTAGACTGACTGGGACATTTTTGGTACTTCACGTAAGTGTTTTCTCCTATATAATGGGGCTGAGGTAACCCTAAACTCTAACTCCCATTCATTTCATACATTCTCTCTTCTGTTGCTGCTCTAAGAGCTCTCTTAGAGCAGCCTCTCTCTCTCTCTCTCTCTCTCTCTCTCTCTCTCTCTCTCCCACATTCAACACACTTCTACATACATTATAGCTCTAGACTATAGAGCTTTCCTCTTTCTCTCTTCTGTTTACTAACTTGGGCGTCGGAGGCCCGACGTCGGGACCTCTCCCGGCGTTGGGTTCTTGCACGTATTCGCGGCGGTCTAGAAGCAATCTAGACAGATCGGAGCTCATCTTAACCGGTTCACTCCAGATCTAGGAGAAGACCCATCAATATGATTGGCATATATTTTTTTTCTAAAAATCAGAAACACCAATTATTTTTTTATGTATGTTAATTTTCTTAATATATGCCACAAATTTATAAATTATTTTATTCATGTTACTAATGTAAACGTTGCATGGTTAAAATAAAATTTAAATCTCAAATAATTTTGAACGATAAAATCAACTTAAGAAAAAGTAATAATTTTTATATGATAGAAGTACATGACTAATTAATAAATACAAACAAAAACGTGTTTTATATTTGTGCAAATGCACAAGATCAAATACTACTAGTATTTAATAAATAAGCTCCATCTATTAAAAAAATGTAATTTGACTGTGATTAGGTTTTTGGTTGATTTTTGTGACCTTCGACGGTGAGGAAACAGTTGGAAGACGGGTGTGACATTGATGGCGATGAACTCTGAGTTTCTGTCATGGCTAAGCTTTTTTCATGCTAGGGATAAGCTCTGTTATTTTTGCTGTTAATTTTCTTCTAATTAAAAATTTGATACAAAAGAACTTTTTTTTATACCTCTTCAACTCAAATTAAACCAAAATATTGCAACTTTAATATTTTATATTCTTGGGTTCTTGAGGATTTGGAGATTTAAGGCATTGCTTGGATACAAATTATCCAGCCTCAACCGTTGTACGTCTAGCGTATAACCTCCCTCACTGAATGCTTGTTCGACCGCAATTGTTGATGTTGGAACGGAAAAAATCTCCTTGGCCATCAAGCATGGAATAGGATAAACGCCTTGCATTCTTGATCACCAATCCAAGACAAAGAAATTGAGTGGCAGAGTTGGTTGACGCGCAACGTAAGTATCAAATTCGGCGTAAGGTAGTGATCCAACTCATAGTATCTAGTCCCCTATGTCATTTGGATGCCAACATTCTTGTATGGAATTAATGAATCCCACCACTCAGAAAAGTTTCTCGTTTCTTGCATCCCCTATTGCCCTCTAAGAAAAAGACTCGCCGCCGCCACGGACAATGGGCTCGTAGATTATCCAAATTTGATTGTTGTTTCCCTGAATAAATCATACAATACATTTTTTGCTTGCTCGATGAGCAGCTGTACATTAGGTTTTGCTTGTTTGTCGGGACATAAGTTAAAATTGGGAGTTGATACATAATATTAGAGATGTTAAACGGTCATTGGCCCGACGGGCCGACCCGTTTAGCCCGAAAAAAAATAGGGTTGGGGCCTTTTTTTAGTAGCCCGTTTAAATCAGAGCTTTGTAGGCCCGGACCATTTAAACTGAAGCCCGATAGGGCTAGCCCGAAGCCCGCTAGAGCTCGCCCGTTTAATTTGTATATTACAACTTCACTATTCTACTTTATGTGTAACTATGAGTTGTAGCGGGTTATTATGACTTTGAAAGACAATTATTAACTATTTCGTTATTCTATTTCACACCAAATTATTTAAGCCAATTAGAACGGCTAATAGAAAATAAATGAGACAAAGACCTAACACATAGAACATAGTGATAGAATATAAATTCAACAGTAAGATATATAACAAAAGTTTAATTAATGCATAACATATTATGTTATTATAAATCTTTAAGTTTAACCGGTCGTTAACCGAAATAACAAAAAATAATCGAAATAAATTATATTACTTAATATGAATTTATGTTTAGTAATTAATATTATATATTAC